CCCCCCCCCCAACCTCTGTCATAGAGCCTGGGGAAGGTCAATAGCTTGTCACATTTGACAGATCTTCCCACCTGGCAATCTTGGTGCTCATTTCCTAGAGCTGCCGTACATGATCACAAACTGGGTGACTTACAATACATGTATTTAGGAGCTCAGAAGGCCCAAAGCAAGTTTCTTGATATTTCCACAATCAGAATCTTGGGTTTTTTGGTTGTTCTGTTTTTTGTACCATTCTTACTCTGGCCCCTTTCATTCTGTCCAGCTATTGAGGAGTCTTTGAGCAAGAAGACCTTCAAACTCATATCAGGAAGAAGCCAAGGAAGCAGTGCAATGGCTTCAAAAATCCTGGGGACCTTGAGGAGGAGGTTACGTGCCCCATCTGCCAGGAGCTCCTGACGGACCCCTTGAGTCTAGTTTCTGCCAAGCCTGCATCGTGGCAAACAAGGAAGCAGTAATTGGCTTGGAATCAGAAAGCAGCTGCCCTGTTTGTGGAAGTAGATACTCACTTAGGAAACTACGGTCTAATTGGCATCTGAGCAAGAAAGGAGAGAGACTCAGGAAGGGAAAATGGAGCCCACAGAAGGAGCAGGCGGGAGAACTCTGTGTGCACCATGGAGAGAAACTCCTCTTTTTCTGTAAGGAGGATAGGAAGGTCATTTGTTGGCTTAGTGAACGGTCTCAGGAGCACTGTGGTCACCACACATTTCTCATGGAGGACGTAGTAAAAGAATGCAAGGTGGGTCCTAGGTTGAGACTGTAGCAGCTGGTGCTCAATCAGAAAACTCACCTTTGTGGCCTATTTCACTTACCCTGCCACCATAGTATTCATTCCTGTAATGGTCTTCCATACCCTTAGCTTCCAAAGCCTGGAGGACATTCCTATACATTCCTTACATTACATAAAGGAAAAAATACAGAAATCAGACTCAACCCAGAGAAGAGCAGAGCGTGCAACCCTCGGATGGGTGTACACAAGACAAGCTCTGATTGTTTCCTTGAGTATTAAGGCTGCTGAGAACATTATGGATAGGCAGTGTTAACGAGAACAGAGAAAAATGTTTTGCTGCAGAATTGATTCTTCCTCTAGAAAAAGAGAAAATCGTATTACTCTTGGTGAAGGCACAATAACTTCAATCACCCAGGGATAAAGAATGTATGCACTTTCCTCCAATAGTTTCATACTCACCAGCCTCATGATTTCGTAAACTTGTCTATTTTGGAATGAACCCAAGAACTGGTCTGATTTTTCTTCTGTTCAGGTGTAAGAACATGAATAGCTTGACTTGGTGTGATTCCTTTCTTCCAGGAAAAGCTACGTGCAACTGTGGAGAGGCTGAGGAATGAGCAACAGGAAGCTGAGAAGTTGAAAACTGCCATAAGCGAAGAAAGAGCTACGCGGAAGGCAAGAGAAACCCCTTCCTAAGGAAGTTCTGAGAAGCGAATTGGACAAAACCTTTGGTCCTAGTCACAGGCAGTTCCTTCTTATTGAGAGTTCATGAGTCCTGAAGCTGTTGCTTAGTCCTCTTCCTCATCACTCCTCTGTTGGGGCTGGTTGGAGACTGGGCATTTCAAAAATGAACAGAATTATTTGGAATTGAACACAGACGCTATGGTGAAAATGGCTGGTCAATACTGTGGTAAGGTTCTGTCTGGTGAAATTCTGAGACACTTCTGTGGAAGACAATGGGCAAAGGAATAGCATTTTCTGTGAGGCTATAGCTGGGAGTAATAATGAGAGTCTAAGAGAGCTGCCTTCAAGCTAAGCCTCACCTATATGTTACATTGTGGCTCAGGGCTGGCCTAAATAATCCAAAAGGAAGTCTGTTTTGGTAGGTGATGTAGAAGAAACAAATAGTAGGAAACAGATCTCCTTTCTTCTCTTCCCTTCTAGCTCAAACACTCTGAGAAATAATTATTCTTTTATGGCTTCTATTTTCTTGCAAAAAAGACCCTCAGCCTAACGAACATCCTCCCTACCTTTCTTGCCCATTTCTCCAGTCTGAGATACAGATTGAGAGACTCAGGATACAAGTAGAATTTAAGCGCATCAGACTCATTCTGGAAAACGAGGAGCTGAGAGAGCTACAAAAGTTGGAGGATGAGGAGAAGAAGGTCATGAATAAATTGGCGGAGGCTGAGGATGAGCTGGTCCAGCAGAGCCAAGTGGGGAAAGAGCTCATCTCAGATCTGGAGTGTCGGGGTCAGTGGTCAACAATGGAGCTGCTGCAGGTAAGACTCCTAGAAGCATGCACCTGATCTGAGATTCTGGATCAAAGACTACGTTTGGTCCCTCCTACGTCCTTGGGCTATCATCTGCGTGGTAACATGAAGAGGTTCTTCTGTCCTAAATGCCCCTTTTCTGCCATCTGTTTTAGATATCCTGATAATAGAATATAAGCATTGTAGGAGCGTATTCTGGTTTTATTAATTTATGACGTAAGGGCAAACATTTGACCTCAGGTAAAAGATCCATGGTATCTGGTGATAATCCATTGTCTGTGATCTGACATATAGTAGTTAAAAATCTCTTTAACCAAAAGCAAGCGTTCATTTTGAGGTTTAAGAAGTATATGTTTTTAGTTTTGGTTGTAAGTATTATATACATGTAAAATAACAAAATGTTACCATTTAAAATTCTTTATGTGTATAATCCATGGACACGATGTTCATTGGGTTGCACAACCATCACCACTATTTCCAAACATTGTTCATCACCCTAACAGAAGTCATCTAATTTGTAGCTCCCATGACCCCCCTATCCCTGGGAACCATTCATAAACTTCAATCTCTACATATTGGTGTTAATTCTTTTTAAACCTTCACCAACAAAGTTATCTGAGCTTGATATTCCCTTTGCATTTTGTTTGTTTATTTGTGGTTTTTTAAAAATTTCCAATGTATATTAGGGCCTAGTCAGATGATCTTTTTTCCCCTTGATTTAGTACTGGTTGTTTCTGTCTCTAGGGATTTGTCTATTTCATCTGGGGTCTCTAATTTGTTGGCATCTAACCATTTATAGTTTTCTTTGAACAATCCTTCTTATTTCTATAAAGTCGATAATAATGTTCCTTCTTCAATTCCTAATTTTGGTGATTTTCTGCCTCTCTCTTTTTCTCAGTGTATTTAGAAAAAGGTTCGTCAATTTTATTGATATTTTACTCTAATTTTGATCACTTCAGGACTCAATTTTTTTTCTCTTCTCCCCAGGACATGAGTGGCATCATGAAATGGTATGTATAGATCAGAGTTAGTGCTTTTGTGCATTGAAAAGAGTTTTGTAGGCAGGAGAGTTATCAAGTGGTCAATCATAATGAAAAGTCTTGCAGGACAGGGAAATATGGTTTGTGGTATTATCTTAAGTTGCTAGATATGATTGAGGGTTTGAGTGGCTTGTGTCTATTGAAAATACACCAGATTCTATGTAAGTGAATTCAGTGATTGGAGGGCACAGAATTACAGCCAATTGGGGCATTCGAGAAAAGGGACTGCCCTATCAGACCCCTGTGGGTTCACTCCTTTTATTCATCCTTTGTTCCTATATCAGCTCTGGCTCTTCTGTTTCCTAAGTATTTACCTTATTACTTAGAGGGTCTGGGTTAGCCACAAATCAGGAGATGAGGATAGTTCTCTATATGTACTTTGCATACACGGAAATAGAAAAGATTTGTTAACTAGTGACACTCATATCTGTGTAGGAAAGAGCTTTATATCAAGCAGACATCCCAACCCAGTCCAACTCATGTCCGTAAGTCTGATGCAAGCCAGGGGCTTCTTCAGACTCACATAGCTGCAGGGCAATGACACGGAAAGGCCCGTCGAGATGCAGGAAGATCAGAGGCCAATGCATGGTGTGTGCCCAATGCAGGGTTCCAAATTTGGTGGAAATTTGGCAGGGTGCCCACAGCTCTCCATGCCTGGCAGCTGATTGTGGCTGTCCCTGGAGGCAGGCAGAGTCCCGGCCAGCAGGATGGTGAAGGGGCAGAGCAGGAGAGAGAGATGGTTCTGCCTTCTTCTTTCTCAAAGAAAGGCCACGCCACCACACGGGAACAACCATAAAGCTATGACCTGGTTGACAGGCTGGACTCCAGTCCTCTGGAAATGCAAATCGACGTAAAATAATCCAACTACCACAAGATGATTCGGTGAGGTTCTCTCATTAGATTTGCAAAATCAAGTTTGATTCTCAGGATACCGTGACTTTGACCCTGGTGCCAATAATGAATCTCCTCTTGGTCACATAATTTAGAAATTAAAATGAAAGAGCATCATTCCCTCTACCTTTACAAGGAACAAAATGTTTCTGGAAATCAAAACTTTCCCACGGTCCCCTGGATGGTGAATGTGACAGCAGACATGAGCACATTGATTTCGCGTGCCAGTGCCACAGGTCTTCCTCTCTCTCCCGCAGCTTCTCAGGGGAGCGGCTCCCCGTGCAGCAGTGGGCGAAGAGCAGGGAGCGAGTGTTGTTGGAGGTACAAAAGGTCAGAGAGATGGGGACAGATTTGTTTTTTCCTTCATAGGAGTGAAATTTGGACACTAAAGAAACCAAAAACCCTTCCCAAGAAACTGAAGCATGTATTCCGAGCTCCAGATCTGAGGGGGATGCTGCGAGTATTTACAGGTGAGGGGAAGCTTGGGAAGACGGTGGAGGTGGGATTCTTATGGTTGTGGGGACTAAATGGAGACGAGTGACTAGTTCAAGTTGAAGCTAGAGGAGAGGAGGGGATTCAGAGGATTCCCTGGGTCGAAGAAAATGTAGTCGCATCTAAGTGAGAATGGCCAGATAGCTGCTGGTTTATATCCTTATTCTCTAGTTCATCGCCTCGCTTACTCCTCTCCTCTCCTGAATTCTGAAGAATCGATGAATATTAGACCTGACTTCTTGGCTTCTAATCAACACCATTGAACCTTTCATCATTTCAGAGCTGGCAGATGTCCAACGCCACTGGGGTAAGAAGCAGTTACAGGCTCTTCAGAACAGCATATTTGCATAAGTTCAGGGTTTTAGAGCTTACTTTATTAGTCCTATATGACCCCCTACAAAACATATGCAATAATATATTTCTCCAATGTTCTTCCCCACTCCCACTCCATCATTACACATTCTTGCTAGTCACTTCTCAATTTTACTTATCACAATATTACACACACACACACACACACACACACACACACACACACGCCTGTATCTGTCATCTAATCTGTCCATCTTTTTCTGCAGTGGACATTGTACTGAACCCAGTCAACCTGAATTTGAATCTTGTCCTTTCAGAAGATCAGAGACAAGTAATGTCTGTACCCATTTGGCCTGTTAAGTGTGATAATTATGGAATCTTGGGCTCTCAATCTTTCTCCGCAGGGAAGCATTACTGGGAAGTGGATATGTCTAAGAAAACTGCCTGGATCCTAGGAGCATACTGTAGATTTTCCCATAATAAAATGTCTCGTGTTAGACAAGCTGAAAAATATAAAAGTGTTTACTCCAGGTACAGCCCTCAGGGTTACAACAGCAACTGAAGTATGTTGCTTGGGAGGACGCTTTCTCTGCACATCCCCAGATTTGGACCCTCTTCCTGGCTGTGCTTCCCTGTCGGGTGGGGATTTTTCTCGACTTTGAGGCTTGCACTGTCTCCTTTTTCAATGCCGCAGACCATGGTTCCCTCGTCTACAGATTTGTGAAATGTTGCTTTTCTCAGAACACATTTCCCTATTTCAACCCTTGGAACTGCCCTGGCCCTCTGACCCTTTGCCCACCAAGCTCTTGAGCTGCATTAGCCCCTCCCCCAGCACGGAGCTCACCTGCGCCATGTTGATGGTCTCTGCCTAGCTGTCTCCCTCACTCCCTTCCTTTATAACTTTTACTCTTTCCTAGGATATATGCTGTATCCACTTGAGGTAGGATATTTGCCTTTTTATCCTTTTTCAGATTTCCTAAAAATATTCGATCCTCACTGTAAACAAAGGAGAATTGATATCACATTTCTCTTTTCTCTTTTCTCATTTGACCTAAAGTCACATGATAAAGCCCGTGAGTCATCAGCCATATTGTCTAGGAGAGTGCATAGAAATCACACCACACACACACACACACACACACACACACACACACACAACTTCAGAGCCTTTGATATAAGGGAACCTCAAGTAGTTCACGAGAAAATCCTGTTATCATTTCCTTCCATTTTTCCATGAACGTTTGAAGCCCCCTTGTATATTTGCTTGTTTTCCTGGGACACCTTGTTCTTCAGGGAGCTAAAAAATGAGGATTTTGTATTTAGAATATTTGAGTTCAAATTCGGTCTCTTCTTTTCCATGCTGTATAATAATGAATAAATAATCATTCCTGGGCTTTTGTTTCTTAAAAGATGACTTGACATTAAATATGGAATCTAAGGCATAGGATCATTGTGAGAAAATAAATGTTATTAATTGTAATGGTGCAAACTGAGTGGTAGTCAGTTAATATTGCCCTTCTAGCCATTATTCTTTATGTGGTATATTATAATTCTGGACTCTATGCCTGTGACTAATCCCATTTTAGAGGGTGCCCCCTACTTTACTAATTGACAGGTTTAAGGTAGCATTAAGACCCGACTTTACTAGCAAGTGGGAACCAAGTCATGCCCTTTGTTTCCTTGGGGGCCCCTTTAAGGCTACCTTACTAGAGAGTGCGACTTCAGACAGCACACGGTTTTCCCTGGATGGTGTATAAATGCTGGTGCCCCAGGACATTTGTGCCTCGTGTTACCTAAAAAGCCAGACCTGTTTTTCCTAGCTGAGCTTTGGTAGAAGCAAAAGGATTTGCTGTGAACGTTTGGACATTTTTGACTTATGATCATGCATTTGGCTCACCACTGCCTGGCATTCAGATTTGGGACTGAGCAGCACCCACCGCCCTGTGAGACATTGCCTTAAAGTTTCTTGAGTTCTGTGGGACATTGTAACGAATCACAGAACCCAGGGAAATGAGGAAATATATTCAAGGAAGGTGTGGAGGGAAAATGGATTGGACCTTTGGGACATCTTTCATCTTCAACTCCTTGGGACTAGTTTGGCATTAATTCTTCTAAGAGAAATTCTGACCATACAGTTAATCGGCTTGAGGAGCACTTACTGAGTGGTGGTTCCAGTATACCTATAGGTACCTTTGAAAAAAGGCCTGGCAACCTACTTCCGTAAAAGTGACCATAAGACCCTCTGGAGCACCATTCTACTTTAACACACATGGTGTCACCGGGAATCTGAATCAACCCAAGGACTGGCGCTGCTTTCTGAAAACACACGTGCCAAACCCATTGCCATCAAGTTCATTGCAATGCATAGCAACTCTGTGTGCAACAGAATGGAGCTGTCCCTTTGGGCTTTGGGGAGTTGAAATCATCATGGGAGCAGATACTTCATTTTTCTCCTGAAATGATATCTACAGGCCCTATTAAAAATTAATAAAAATGCAGACTTTGTTCATATCCTGGCCAACAGGTTTGTGCCTTTCAAGGGAAGTGCTAGCTGTCTCCACAGTAATCATTTCCAGTTCCTAGTTTCTGTCAACACTAAGTTCTTATTTTATTTTGCATATTTTTGAAATCCGACACCAAGTGTGTTTTTTAGACCCTTTATAGGGAATGAATCAGGAAATTGGAAACAAATTTCCATAATATGTCCAGTAAAAGGTGTCATGTCTAGACAACCTGGCTGATGAGTAATCTTTGAATGTTCAAGTCTTTGTGTGTGTGTGATAAACACTGTAGTTAACCACCTATGAGCTCCCCTCTTTTTAAAAACAGTTTTCAAACTTAGAATATAGACTAAATCTGTCAAAAATAAGGAAAGCACAACTTTTCTTGGAGAAGTATGCGTTATGTATTGGTGTAGCCTGTGCCACGGGACAGAGTCCATATTGATATTTCCATGGCTATAAGATAGGATCCATAACGATACTAGTGAAAGGAAAGTGTTTGTCCTGGGAATAATAGTATACTAGGGGACTTCAAAAAGTTCACGAATCAAAAGAATATATTTCAACAAACTATTTTTTAATTAAAAGATCATTTTATTGAGGGCTCTTACAGCTCTTGTTACAATCCATACATCAATTGTATCAGATATATTTGTACATATATTGCCATTCTTTTCTAGACATTTACTTTCTATTGAGCCCTTGGGATCAGCTCCTCTCTTTTTCTCTCCCTTCTGCCACTCCCCCACCCCCGCCCCGCCAACCCTTGTGGCCCCTTGATAGCTATTGATTGCTATTATTTTCATAACTTACACCGGCCGCTGTCTCTCTTCCCCTCTGGTTTCTACTATTCTTCCCCTGGAGGGGTGTCTGTGGTTATGTGCCATTCATTGTGATCGGTTCTCCCCTCCTCCCCTCCTCTCCTTCTCTTCCCTCTACCCTTTTGGTATTGCTATTCCCATTTCTGTTACTGGGTTCCATGTGTCATGAGCTTTATCTTTTGCCTATACATGTTCCAGTTCAGTTCAGATTGGGAAGCAGCACTGGGGTCACAACAGTGGGGCGTGAGGAAGCCTCAAGGAACCAGAGGTATATGGCCTGATCCATCTGTGCTCTACTGCACCCTGATTGACTCATCACTTCCTGTGACCCCTCTATGAAGGAATGTTCCATTGTCTACAGATGGACTTTAGGTCTCTGCTCCAACCCCCCCTTGTTCTCACCAACACATTTTTGTTTGTTGTTTGTTATCAATTTTCTGATGCCTGGTCTGATGACACCTCATGATTGCACTGACTGGTGTGCTTCTTCCCTGTGGGCTAGTTGCTTCACTGTTGGATGACCACTTGTTTAACTCAATACTTTAAGACCCCAGATGCTATACCTTTTAATAGCTGGGCACCATCCGCTGTCTTCATCACATTTGCTTATACGTCCATTTTGTCTTCAGCAATCGTGTGTGTGGGGTGGGGTGGGGGAGGTGAGCATAACAAAATGCCATTTTGTTAGAACAAAGTATTCTTGTATTGCGGGAGGATATGAGCTGAGGCCGAAGGCCCATTCACAGCCTCAGTGTATTGCCTTATAAATATATGTACATAGGCCAGAGTGTGCATACAGACCCCACCATGGTGCACCAAACCAGGAGGGTAATGTGGAGAATTGGATGAAAATATTGGGTCACAGGGCCAGCCCCAACCAGAGCCACTTTAACTCCTGCCCTAGAAGTATGTGTGACAGAGAACAACACTAAACTTTTAGGTGGGGGAAAGGAGCTGACTTAACACTCCCACCTGGAAACAAACCAAGAAGGAAAAAGAGGTCAGTCGGCCTAGACTGCATATTGGCACACCAAGCCGGGAGGATGATGACCCTGCACGGACCTACTAAGGCACAGAGAGAACTGTAGGCCCTCCAACAACTCAAGACATTTTGCCCCCTAAGTAGAGTGTACTGCAACAGAGGACAATAATGGGGACACACAGTGGGGAAATAATGCAGCCCGAATCCCCCACAGCGGGACAAACCAAGAATGGAGCATGACAGATTAGCAATTGGAGCAAAGCCAATCCACAAAATTCCTAAAGAGCCCCCAAATAGATTTTGGGCTAGGAGGGGCAGCCCCTGGAACTCCCCCAGCACCCCGGAGGAAAGATTCATAAAGGCCAGGGGACAGACTTGGAACTATGTATGTTTGTTTTTTGTTTTTTTCCTTTTCTTTTTTCAATCTTTTGTTTTCTTATTGTTTGGCCTAGGACAATGCTGGTTTGTCTACTTATGTAAGGCAGACATGGGAAGCAGGCTCTGGGAGAAAGCAATGGGGCCAATGGCCCAGGAGGGTCTGGGTGGGAGAAGGTGGCAGGGGTCCGGGAGGATGGTTGTGGTGAGCGAACAACTAGAGAATTAAAACAAACAACTAGGGGATTGTAGAGATCCTGCAGGTATTAGAACCACACCAATGTAGCTGAGAGGAAGTACTAAGAGGTGGAAGAAGGGGAACATGATGGTGGGGCAGGAGAAGACAAAAGGAAACAGAGGAAGGCTCTAGGAAGCAAAGCTATAGATAGAGGTATTAACAGAGGAGGTGTGTACTTATATTGACTTTTTTATGTTGAAAGATATTTGCATACCTCAGATGAAAAACTTGGGTTTTTGTTGGATCTTATTGACTAGAATTTTGTTTAGAAATTTTGCATCTAAACTCATCAGGAACATCAGTCCTGTCATTTTCTATTCAGGTGAGGACTTTGCCTGATTTTAGTATCATGGCTATGCTGGATTCCTGGAACGAATGTGAGGGTCTGTCATTATTTTCTACATTCTGCAATAGTTTGAGTAGAATTGGTGTCAGCACTTCTCTGAATTTTTGATACAAATCCCCACTTAAGTCATCTGGCCTTGGACATTTAAAAATGATTATGTATATAATTAATATATATACATATACATATATATAATGTGATATAATATATATATCTGTGATGAATCGATTCAGTTGTTTACTGTTTTTTTTAACATTGATCTATATTAGCTTAGATAGGTAATGAGTTTATAGAATTTGTCCATTTATTCTAGCTTTCCAATTTGTTGGAGTGCATTCCTGCATAATATTGTATTATGATTTTTATTTCAGTTGGTTCTGTTGTGATGTTGCCCACTTCATTTCTTATTCTTGATATTTGCATCTTTTTTTTTTCCTTTTTAGGTTTGCCAGTGGTTTATCAATTTTGCTAATCCTTTCAAAGAACCAACTTCTTGCCTTGTTGATTCTTTCTATTTTCTATTCTCTTACTCATTTACTTCTACTCT